CAGCACGGCAGAGCTCCGCCTCGGGCAAGCCCCATCACACTGCAGCGCCAGGGCATGGTGGCACACGCAGCCCCTTGCGTTAAATTGACAGGGCCGCGTTGGGAAAGGGGGGGGGGGGGCGCCTTCTCTGACCCCTCAAAACAGAAGATGCAGCTGGGCCTGGCCCTGACCTCTGCAGGCACCACAGGTTGGGATGAACAGCCCAGCTTAAGGAGGCTGGCACAGCTTTGGCTGGATTACAGAGGCAGTGGTAATCTGGGCATCGGTGACAGATTGAGGCTGCTTTTTGCCAGGTGGGACAGTTTGGTGACGTAAGGAAGGTGGCCCACGCGCCTGGCTGGGATATTCCCGATGCCCAAGGGTGACCGGGAGCACCCCAGCAGGACTCACCCGAGAGCTGGCAGTGGCGAGGCACAGACTGGGGCATGAGGCTGCCTGCCCGGTGCAGACACACCACGTTGGCGATCTCCTGTTGGCACTGCTTGCTGCTGGCCCGGGCCAGCGCTGAGAGGGCGTCTTTGCCCGTGATTTCGCACTTGGGGGTGAAGCTGTTCTCGGTGGGCTGGGGAGCCCCCTCCACGCTGCCCGTGTCGCCCTGCTGGAAGACGGCCAGCTGGGCCTCCCCGCGCAGCTCCGTCAGGTTCCTCCGGCTGGAGGAGTCCGGCGCAGCCGGCAGCCTCCATCCCGGTTTGTGTCTCGCCGTGACGGCTCTCACCACCTTGGACACCAGCGCCCCCGGGCGGTCCAGCCCATCGTCCGTGCTTCCGGCTGGCACTGCCCCGGCGCCCCGCAGAGCTGTCCGAGTCCTTGGAGCCGTCACTGCTCTCGGGCAACCTGGCTTTTTTCTGCCGCTCCTGTTTCAGTTCCAGGCAGATGCAGAAAAGAGGACAGACAGCGTTAATTCGGACCTGCTTTCTCCCGACCCTGCCAACGTGCTCCCCAGAGCATCCCTGTCCCCAGGGCTCAACACTCCCAGTCCATGCTGCAACATGCCAGGTGCTCCAGAAGCAGCCACCATGCAGCAAAGGAGTCTGTCACACCACCCCTCTGCCACCTAAAACCCCAGGCTAAGACCCCACAGCACCTCCCTGCATGGTCCTATGCCTCCCTCACAGGAACACCCCTCTATATGCCAGCAAGGGAGACCCCGATTTGCAGACCCTGTGGTCACAGCACCCCAGATGCACAAAGAGGGTCTTTCTCTCTGCCACCAGGCTCGCCGCAAGACTAAACGGCCGAGATCAGTTGTGTCTGCACCAGCCACCCTCTGGGGTCCTGTGTGAGCAGGGGCACCCCCGGACAGTGGGGACGAGCACAGGGCTGCTCTGGCTGGTGGTGATTATTTTACTGGGAGGCTGATGGACCAGCTCCTCCCTGCCAAGATCATGCTGTGAGCCCAAACCCAGCACATCTGTCTGGGAGCCGGGGTCCCAGGCGGCTGCAGCTGCGCTCTCTGGGGCTAAAAGCACTGGAGGGGCATCGAACCAGGTCCTGCCCATGCTCCCTTCCCTGGGTCCCGGCTCCCTGCACTGGGCTGGAGCAGTCGCTGCGATCACTAGCTTCTCTAGAAATCCCTTTAACAAACCCTCCCGCCGAGCCAAATGGATGTGTAAAGGGAGCAGTTAATTACGCTTCGTTACCTCTGCCAGGCTGGCTGATGAGTAGAAAGGAGTCAGCCTTGGGGAGAGCAGAGAGTTGGGAAGTTTGGATACCTGTGAGAGCCACGCTCGTGGGAAAGCACTTTCCCAGCGAGTCACGCTCGCGGGGCCAGGGCCGTATGCCCCCAGCCCACCGCAGACGCTCCCGGCCGACAGTCCGGGCAGCGAAGCAGCTGCCTGCTCCAGCCAGGCCTCCCAGGGCTATCTCACAACACCCTCAAAACCCTGCCTGCTCAGCTGCTGCGCCGGGCACCGCGGGAGGCAGCGAGCGCACTGGGGGCTACTCCTCGGCAGCAGCATCTTCTGAGGATGGGCAGATGCCTCACAAGGACAGCGGGACCAAATTAGCCCCCTTGCACAAGCCCCCCTGTGGGCGTAGCTGCTGGGACGGTCACAGCCAGGAGAAACCATGCCGTACAGAGGCTGGAAAGCATCTGGCAAGATCTGCCCCCTCTGGTGTCCCTGAACTACCCATGTTGTGGTGGCGCAGCCTGCAAACCATGGCTACCCAGGAAGGGGCCAAGCCACCGCTTAACTTCCGAGGGGCTGGCATCAGCGAGGATCAGCCGAGCCCCCTTCCGCCCAGACAGGCATCACAGGCGGCCCGAGACAGGCAGTGAACCGTTCTTTAGTCACCACGCAGGACCATCTGTTCGAGAGTTATAAACCTGTTTTCTCCGCCAAGCATCACAGGAGAGGGGAGTCAGGAGGCGACAAGCGAGGAGCGAGTCTCTTCCGCAGGCTCAGCCCCATTCCTGCAGGACGAGATCCACCGGCCCCGCTCACACCCTCTGCTCCCCAACACGCCTGGCTCTGGGGACAGCCCCCGCACGATGCCCACCTTAGCTTACGTTCCCG